TCGACATTAGTTCTAGTAGCGCGGCCCGGGCCGGACCAATGAGCCTCGGTTCTGCTATGTACTGTACACCGAAGCTGCGACATTAGTTCTAGTAGCGGCCCGGGCTGGACCAAATCAGCCTCGGTTCTGCTATGTACTGTACATCGAAGCTGCGACATTGATTTTAGTAGCGTCCCGGGGACGAACCTCCCTTGACTTGATGATGCCTCCTCAACAGCCCATCGTCCCTCCCCAGGCAGAAGTGACTCGTGTCGTGTGGACTTGCGTGATCGCCACATGCATGGGTCCATGGGACACGCGATGCGAATATTCTTCGCGTCGCATACCCACGCTGATTATGGCCTTATCGAGGGCGCACCGACATAGTCAAGGACCACTTGTCATAAGATGACGCTCGTTCGCCAACAATACAGAACTGCCACGTCATAGAAGCACGTCAGACGCGGACACTCATGAAGGTTTGTCCTATTGTGACGGCTCGACTGGGGGAGGCGGTCGCACAAGTGAAACCATCGCACGAAATGCTGACGCTCGTTGTACACGCAGATGTCGTACCGGTACATTTGTTAGGGCGTGGAACATCCTTTTGAACAAGGCGATGGTCGCCCAACAGCGACAGTAATCATTGTTGCGACCATCGCCATTGACCTACGAAGCAGACTGACGAAGACTGCCCGAAGAACGCACGTTCCACAGCTTATGCTTGTTGGTCGCCCCACCCGTTGAACCTCGCAGATAAGACAAGAAGTGGCGACGTCAGGAAAAACATGCGAAATGAAACCAGGTGTTGTTGTGAGTGACGTGCTGCGACCCAATTTGCAGCACGGTGTTTGACGAATCAGGCGCTTTCATGTATCATCGCGACTCCGTATTTCTGGGCGACCAAGTGTTTCCAACTTGGGATATGGGGTTTTGCGTGTTACCTGACGAAAACCATTGACGAGACAAATGTTCGACCAGAGAGCCGACGGGACACTTGTTCACAAGGATGTTCCACGCTCTTATTTGAACCGAGGTGCCAGTGTTGAGGGCTGGCAGCATAAGCCCAAATGACTCGCATTGTACGTCTCGTTGGAAGAAGTGTTGCAAGAAGACTTAAAAGTCCTTACTTCTCAACAGACTTAGGGCACGTCTGGTACATGAGCTGAGGTTTTGCACATGCATACTTTATTTCTTTTGGCTTGTTATGTGGTCCTATTGTGTATGTAAATAAGTATTGCCGTAATTCGCTAGCCAAGCAAAGAAATCCAAATATTGTTAGCAAGAATCAATTACAACAGATAAATGATTGCCAAGTTAGCCCAGCTTGCCTATAGTTACCCTTCCCCACCATTTCCCAGATCTAGTACAGGTTTCATCAGCAGCATCCTCTGTAAACATCTAGTCTTACTTGGTCCAAGTGTAGCAAACAAATGCATACCAACAAGCATACCAAGTGCATACAAACAAATGCATATGGCGTTCACGAGGAAGCACAAACGGGTACGAGATTATCGACAGTGCCCCCAACGATAAGTCAACTCGTCAGATTTTGCACGCGAGGTCAATAGTCGCAGAACCCCTGCACAGCAGCACATACCACTCATGTTAGTAAACGAGCAGAAAATTTAGGGCAAGAAGTGAGCAGGAAGATTAGGGTAAGAAGCGAGCAGGAAGTTTAGGGTAAGAAGCGAGCAGGAAGATTAGGGTATTTTTCGCCATACAACAAGCTCTTCACGGAGGAGCTCGTTGCCCCCATTTCTAGAAAAATGCGTTAGGGGCTGGTGGTCCTTGGAACGCGCAGCGGTTGCGTTTAGGCAAGTGAGGAATTGCAGTGATGCAATTAGGTCGTACGTACCGGTTTCGGACCGTGGTTGCGCATAGTGGTGGATCCGGAGGAGGAGATGGAGTTTGAGACGACGCGTTTCAAGATACGTCTTGAGACGTCTCAAAGTGAGTTTGGTGCAATAAGGTCGTACCGATTGGGACCGTGGTTGCCGAGAGCGTTTGGAGCCGTCGGCGGAGTAGGCCCCAGGGGATATCGTTTTTGGGCTCCACTCAGAACTTACGAGTCGACACTCAAACATCATCCTGCAGTGGTGCAAATAGGTTCGTACCGGTTGGGACCGTGGTTTCCGAGAGTGGTCGAACCGTCGGCGGAGTAGGCCCAGAGGATGTTGTTGCTGCCCGCGTAGTTGATCGACGACAGGCCCGTTGTGCCGCTGCGAGTGAACCTGAGGGGCGGGAAGGAAGAGTCGCGTGGTTGTGGATGATGCTGCTTATGCGGGCAGATTGATGGTGACAGGAAGCCAGATCTGCCGCTTCTGAGTGAACCTGAACCAGGAGGGTACAGACAGGCCCCTCAGACTCTCATCACGCCTTAAATGATTGTTACTTTGTGCGATCCTTTTCATGACGGACGGATTGACGACCAATAGGGTTTCGGACCGTAACAGTCAACAATGGAAGGGTCTAGAGTTTCGGGTTTCGGGTTTAAGGGTCTGCTGGTGGAAAATTTGAAGAGCCCATGAGAAGTGGCGGGTTTCGGGTTAAGGGTATCCAACATCGGGAGAACTCTTGGCGCTAAATTAGGGACGGGTTCTGGTAGGACGGAATGACCACGATACGGTCGCTACTAGAACGACTCGCCTTGTAACAAGGACTCTCAACGAGTCGACATGCCTCAGCAATGGGTTTCTGAGTCGACTCAGATCCCAACGAGGTGCTTCGGTTCGGCCTACGTACGCTCATCAGGTGGTAGAGCACCCAACAGCAGTGGCTGGACTTGGCTCGATGCGCACCTGATGACTGTAGACCTCGATTTTCGCGCTACAACTGCTCTCGTTACAGTAAAAGCGGTCGACTTCGCTACAGCACTGTAGCTGGTCATCGCGTACGGCTGGACGCCATTCGGCGCGGGGAGATTCCCCACGACGGCGTCCGCGGGGTACATCTTCCCCGCGCTCCTGGTCCACCCGATCGCGATCCACCCGCTTTTCGCGCCGCTGCTTGCCTGCGCGATGATCGCGGCGCGGAGCGTGTTCCCGTACAGGACCTTCCAGTGAAACACGAGCCTGGTGTGCGTGGGGTGGGGAGGGTAACGGGAGGGAGGGGTTTGCGGGATCATCTACCGAAAAAAGATGTATTTCCGCGCACCAGGCGGGAGGGAAGGGTTTGCGATTATCGCCGCGCGGAGCGTGTTCCCGTACAGCACCTTCCAGTGGAACACGAGCCTGGTGTGCGTTTGTGAGGTGGGTGGGGTGGGGAGGGTGACGGGAGGGAAGGGTTTGCGGAATCATCGACCAAAAGAAAAGGATGCGTTCCCGCGCACCAGGCGGGAGGGAAGGGTTTGCGATTATCGCTGCGCGGAGCGTGTTCCCATACAGCACCTTCTAGTGGAACACGAGCCTGGTGTGCGTTTGTGAGGTGGGTGGCAGAAAGGAATCGTCAGTGGAAGACGATGCTGAGTTGTGCAAGGGTATCAACAAGGGGAAGGTTTTTGAGGCGCCTTAAAAACTACCTCAACAAGGGAACGTATTGAGCAGGCTCGTTTTAGTACCCGGCGCGATCTTCACGCACAGCGCTCGGAGCGCGGTGCCGCGCGGCACGGCTTCAAATGACAGGGAATAGACCGCGACAGTGTTCCGTTGGACGAAGTTCCTTAATGGTTTTTTTTTTTTTCCTCCCGCGAATGTTTCAGAGAATAGCTTGTGCATCTAGTGTAAATTACGTGTTTCCACTCGCTCAGCCTACGAGCACGAAGGCCTGTGAGTAAGTTATTTGCATGAGCTTCATGCAGTCATTTCCAAAACGCACACCGCAAATCTCTGTTCTATCCACATTTCCACACATGTCCAGCACGTACCCTGGTTTCAGCGTGACTTTCTTTGCGAATCCAGCGACGGGAGACCGGCTGCACGGCAGAGCAGCAGCGCTCGCACGGATCTGAGTAATGTTCGTCTGTCCGCTTGTAGCAACGGCAATTTGAGTCAGCAGCAGTAGTACTGCTAGTTGCAGCAACGTGAAAAGTGCGGATTTCTGAAGCGCGAGAGCCATGAGAAATGAAGGGAAGGGATCAGGAGAACTGGCACTGCGGGCAATCACGATTCACGAAGGGAGTGTGGAGTGAAGGGGCGCAAAATGCTTCGGAAGCAGAAAACGGGATCTCACAAACAAACTCCACAGGACAATCAGAATGGGAAAGCAATTATGCGACAAGAATTTGAAGTCGGGTCGCTCGGGTCGGGTATGTACAGTACACGAACTGCTTGCGGGACAAGCTAGCGACAGCAGAGACAGTTGGTGGCCCCACCCGGCCCGCACGCCATTGGTGCTCAAGCGAATCACGCAGCGCCATTGGTTTGTGGCTCCCGCCCGCGCGCGTGGCAGCGTCGTTGCGCGTGGTTTCGTGTGATATTCCCGCGCCTTTCGAGGTATCTTCGTCGAAATAAGCAATTGGCGAAACTCTCGCTACAAGCGCTATTCTATCAAGCGAAGTACCGCAATCTTTTCGTGAAATTCGTGCAGCTGCAGAGCCAATTGCCCAAACCCCGACCAGTCTACGGCTGCGATCTTTCGTGAAATCACCAGGTTCCAGTTGGCACAAAAAACTCGTCAATGCCTGCAGACTGGCAGTTTTGGAAGTTGACGTGGCATTTATGATGATAAGTTATGCTGTCGGAAGAACCTGATTGGGTCGCCTAAGGGTTGTCAATGTCGGTGCCACGAGCGAAGGAAAACTGCCATCACCAGCCAGGTCCACGGCCCCAGCATCGAGCACATGAAACATGAGGCTCGGGCCTGGGCGCCTTTTTCGCGTTTGCAGCGAAAGCTCACACACATGCTTGTGTTACACTTGACCTAATTTCCGTAAGCATACTATAGATGGTTTTGTCCTCCAAGGAAAAAAAAACATTAGCAAGCACATTAATGTGCATGAGGGGCATCTGCAGTCGTGCACCCCATTGATACTAAATATAAACCGGCTCAGAATCCCACATGTTTTACCTACACAGCATCCTTCATCCTTCACCTCTACCACTGAATGATAAACTGCCGAAACCGAAAAAGGAGGAAGCTGTGGGGTTGGCGGCAACAGCAGCAGCACCTGCAGCACTGCCGGCAGCAGCAAAGGATCGCAGAGTACCCAAAATGGCACCCTCGCCCCTCTCTGCTGCTGCGGCAGCTGCTGCTTCAGATGTCATGTCTGGAAGGTTCAACCGACGTGACAGCTGCATTGGGGTGGGTGCGAGATGGTGGGTGGTAGGTTGTGGGAGTGGGTGGAAGCGAAGGTGGAAAGTGAGTGTGGAAATGAGTGCGGAAGTGAGGGTGCAAGCTGTGTCAGAGGTGAGAGTATGGAGGACGGGGGTATAGGAAGGATGTTACAGAAAATGTCAAGTGGCAGAGCGTATAAGAGAAAGAACAATTTTTATATTCAAACCTCCTCTCACTCCCTAACCTCTCAAGTGGCAGAGCGCCTTCCACACACGCCTTTACAAACGCCCGCACATTCACCCTCTCATCCTCCGTTCCCTCTCCAATCTCTGCCTTCTCTCACCTCTTCTCTCTCGCTTGCGTCCCCGATCCTCCCAACGTATTTAGCAGCCTCCACCACAGCGCCTTGCTCCACACACGCTTCTACGAAAGCCCTCAACCCCACCAGAGGGCGTCGCTCCTTGAACAGCTTCTCCAGCCCCTCCCAGTCCCTCAGGCGAGCTAGAGCCTGTAGTCTCAGCCAGTAGTAACGTCTCTCCGGAACCTGCTTATTAAGGGTACAGAATGTAGATGATGGAATATGGGTGGGGATACCAGCAGGACCACCGCAGGCCGTTGCTGTCTGAACAACTTCTCCAGCCCCTCCCAGTCCCTTAGCCGCGCCAGAGCCTGCAGTCTCAGCCAATAGTAGCGTCTCTCCGGAACCTGCTTATAAAGGGTACAGAATGTAGATGATGGAATGGGGGTGGGGATACCAGCAGGACCACCGCAGGCCGTTGCTGTCTGAACAACTTCTCCAGCCCCTCCCAGTCCCTTGAGCGGGCCTGAGCCTGCAGTCTCAGCCAGTAGTAGCGCCTCTCGGGGACCTGTGTGTGTGGAAGAAGGGGAGTGACAAGCACAGGGGCGGCTCAGCGATGGAAGGGGGTGGGGATACCAGCAGGCCCGCTAAACCGTGTCGCTCCTTCAACAGCTTCTCCAGCCCCTCACAGTCCCTCAGGCGAGCCAAGCCTGTAGTCTCAGCCAGTAGTAGCGCTGCCCTGGAACCTATACAGACCATGGATGAGAAGAGTGGGTGGGAGTGCAAAGGGGTGAAAATACCAGCAGGACCACCAGAGAGGTTGTCTCTCCTTAGACAGTTTCCCCAGCCCCTCTCACGCTCCTAGGCGAGCCAGTGCCTGCATGTAATGAGTCGTGTTTTGAGTCGACTCAAAACACGTTCCCCAGCCCCTCTCACGCTCCTAGGCGAGCCAGTGCGTGCAGTCTTAGCCAGTTCGTTCGGGCCGTTCTTCTCCGCGACCAGTTCTTTCATGCTTCTCTTTATTTAGCCATGCAATAGGACCACAAGGAAGGAGGGTGACACATGCAGGTCTCACTTTGAATTCGCTCTTCAGCTTTTGAGCTTCTCTGTGGTTCTCTGTGATGACTTTTGAGTCGACTACGGTAACAAAGTCACTTGGAGTCGACTGAACAGTCATTTCAATTCAAACTTAAAAGCAGGTCTCACCTTGAATTCGCTCTTCAGCTTTTGAGCTTCTCTGTGGTTCCCCGCGGCTAGGCACGCCGCAATCGTATCATTCACACTCGCACCGACCACACTCCTCCTCCTGCCCTCCTCCTCCCCGATCCCCATACCCTCCCCTGCACCCGTGGCAGTGGCGGTGGTGGTGGGTGCGGCCAGGTGCACTCCTGCTGCTTCTAACTGCTGCTGAAAGCTGGGTGGGAGAGAGACGGGCATGGGTCACACAAGGGGGAAAGAAGAGTGAGGAGATTGTATGAGCCCCCTTCTGTGCAACGAGGCATCACAGCCAACCGCTGCAACAGCTAGCAGGTGGGCAGCAATTGGCAGTGGTCAGTGAGCTCAAGATAAGTCCGTGCTTGCTGCTGCTGCTGCTGCTTCTGCTGCTGCTGCTTCTGCTGCTGCTGCTGCTGAGACCACCATCACCATCATCATCAGCATCAGCAACAGCATCAGCATCAGCATCAGTATCACCCCCACTCCCACCCACAACACCACGAAACACCCCACACGTACCGCAGAAGCTTCACAGAATCTTCCACTGCTTTCGCCTGAAACCCGTGGTCTCTGGTCCTTGAGAGCAGCTCTGCTGCTGCTTCCAGCTCCCTCACCCTCTCCGCTCCCCACCTGTTCAGCCCCTCCTGCACCCCCTGCTTCACGATCTGCTCTGCCACACACTGAGTGCAACAATAGCGAGGGAGGAAAAGGGAGGGCGGGAGAAAGGGACGAAGGGGTTGGGTGGGAGCAGCCTCCCTGCTGCGTGATTGAAGAAGTGTTTTGAGACACTTCTTCAAAACACTTCTTCGAGCTCCCTCTCCCGCTCAAAACACTTCTTCAATCGGTTGGGCGGGAGCAGCCTCCCTGCTGCTTCGAGCTCCCTCTCCCGCTCTGCTGCCCCTGCCCCCCACCTGTTCAACCCCTCCTGCAATCCCTGTTTCACGATCTGCTCTGCCACACACTGAGATCGACAAGGGTGGGGGATGGTAAAGGGAGAGAGGGCGAGAGAAAGGGAGGGGCGGGTTGGATGAGAGCATTTTTGAGACGTCTCGGGAGAGAGGGCGGGAGAAAAGGAGGGGCGGGAGAAAAGGAGGGGCGAGAGAAAGGGAGGGGCGGGTTGGATGAGGGCTCTGCTGCTGCTTCAAGCTCCCTCACCTCTCTTCCGCCCATTTACTCCCACCCTCTTGCACTCCCTGTTTCACAATCTGCTGGACGAGAGGGGGAGGGGGAGGGGGAGGGGGATGGGGAAGGGGAGGGATGGGTGGGAGGAGGGTGGGATGAGATGAGAGCTCTGCTGCTGCTGCGCCCAGCAACCTCACGCTCTCTCTGCTGCCCACCTACTCCTCGCTTTTTTTAAATCACCTGCCAAAATAACTGACATACCACCTGCTGAATTGTCTGATATAGCACCCACCTGACATAGCACCTGACAAATCACCAGACATACCACCTGCAAAATCACCTGGTGCATGGATGAGCGCTCATAGAATCGCATCAGCAGAGGAATGTCGGATTTTCTGCGACAACAAAGTGGGGGGAAGAAGAAGGAAACAAGGAGAGGAGACCACATACTGATGATAATAATAATGAGGACATACAGTTGCAACATCTATGATGGAGGAAACAAATATGGCAATATGGTAGCAAGAGGGTGACAAGAGAGGGAACTCGTTTGCATTATAAGACGTGGAGGCAACTATGGTAAGCATACCCCAATCAAGTTTACAGAGAAATTTAAGAAAGGAACAAAGAAACAAAAAAAAAAGGCACAAGAACATGACAGTAAGTCAGAGGGTGATCCAACACGGGAGGGGAACTCACTTGCAGTATGAGATGAAGAGGCTTCGGGCAGTGGGGTGGCTCTTGAGCAGCTCAAACACCTGCTCCTCTGGCGCCTGCGCGGGTACAGTTCGGTTTGTGTGGGTTGGGTTGGGTGTAGCTGGGTTGGGTCGGGTGGGGTTGGGTTGAGCATGAGCACACCCGCACAATACCAAGCAGCTTGAAGCGAACTTGACACCAAGTCCGTTTTTGACTCGCGAGTCAACCAAGCACAAACCTTACGGAGCAACAAGCAAGCGAGAAGCACAAGCAGGCAAGCACGCAATAGCTCACCTTATCCAGCAGCTGGAAGAGCACTTGGAACACAAAGTCCGCATCTGGCCTTCCTTGTTCAACAGAAGCAACACAAACATTCACTTATCCAGCAGCTGGAAGAGCACTTGGAACACAAAGTCCGCATCTGGCCTTCCTTGTTCAACAGAAGCAACACAAACATTCACTTATCCAGCAGCTGGAAGAGCACTTGAAACACAAAGTCCGCATCTGGCCCCGCCTCTGCCTTCCATCGGACTGCCGCGCTTGTCCAACAGGAGCAACACAAACACACACCGTATCGAAGGGCAAGCAATCAAGCAAGCACGCAATAGTTCACCTTATCGAGCAGCTGGAAGAGCACTTGGAACACAAAGTCCGCATCTGGCCCCGCCTCCGCCTTCCATAGAGCTGCCTCGAATGCTCCCATTTCCAGCAGCAGGCGCACCTGGAGGGAGGGGGGGGAGGAGGGGGGAGTGGGAGAGAGAAGGAGAGAAATGAAGCGAGATAGAAAAATCTGGTCCCAGCTGCCTTGTAACCATCTCTCACCTGCCCCGTCACCATCTCTCACCTGCCCCGTCACCATCTCTCACCTGCCCCGTCACCATCTCTCACCTGCCCCGTCACCATCTCTCACCTGCCCCGTCACCATCTCTCACCTGCCCCGTCACCATCTCTCACCTGCCCCGTCACCATCTCTCACCTGCCCCGTCACCATCTCTCACCTGCCCCGTCACCATCTCTCACCTGCCCCGTCACCATCCCTCACCTGCCCCGTCACCATCTCTCACCTGCCCCGTCACCATCCCTCACCTGCCTCTCAGTGTGAACCTCCCTCTCCAGCAGCCGTGTGGCCAGCTCGTGCCGGCCTGTGTGAAACGCCACCTCAGTGCATAAACCGACAGCGCACCTGCCTCCATGGATTTCCTTTCCACAAGGTGACTTTTGAGTCGACTCAAAAGTCACCCCGACGGCGCACCTGCCACCATGGTTTTCCTTTCCAAGAGGTCTCTCACCTGCCGGCCTGTATGAACCTCCCTCTCCAGAAGCCGTGCGGCCCGCTCGTGCCAGCCCGTGTGAAACGCCACTGTAGCCACGGCACTGTGTTGGCTAATAACGCACCTGCCGCTATGGTTTTCCTTTCCAAGGGGCCTCTCACCTGCCGGCCTGTATGAACCTCCCTCTCCAGCAGCCGTGTGGCCAGCTCGTGCCTGCCCGTGTGAAACGCCACTGTAGCCACGGCTGCAAACGATACTGCCAGGCTGCCCCGCTTGTCCGTGTCGATCTGAAGAGGGGTGTGAAGGAAGGAGTGGGGGAGGAGTAATGTCGTACTGGCTTTCATGCAGCCTGCGTGGTGTGGAAGGCAGAGGATACTGCCAGGCTGCCCCGCTTGTCCGTGTGAATCTGCAAGAGGTGGTGGAGGGAATGAGGCTGTCCATACATAGATCAGCTAGAAAAAAAGTATTTACGAGTGTGGATAAACGAGTGACAAACGGGTGTGGGCAAACGAGTGGCCATAGGGTGTGGACGGACGGGTGTGGTTAACGTAAGAAGTGAATGGTTTTGCTCCACTATAGAGTGACTCGCCTGCTTTATTATAGTATCATAGAGCACTTCATCAGGCATTTGCGATGCAGAAAGGATCTTGGATATTGCCCAATGCTCCAACACGCTCTCCTGGTGGGTATTTGCAGAGACAGAGCAATAGCTGAAGAGGCAAAGTTCGAAGTTGCCTGATGTGCCAAGGTGAAAGGAGCAAGGTGAGGGCAGAAAAGGAGATGGATGTATTGGAAGGACAAACAGAAGAAGAGAAGACATTGGATATGGCGCTAAGCTCCCAAAGATGAGGGGAAAGAGACGCCTGGGGCTCTCACATGCTAAGGCAGGGCCTTACCGTGCGAAGGCCGAGAAATGCGGCTACCCGAAGGGCGAGCAGGTGGTGGTGTGTGGAGCAGAGGCGGGCGATAAGGCGTGCAGGGGAGAGCTCCTGAGACGATGGGAAGGAGGAGAGCGGGGAGCAACATTGTTTGGGGGGTCAAATCCAAGTGCGAGAAGGTGGTGGTGTGTGGAGCACAGGCGGGCGATAAGGCGTTCTGGAGAGAGCTCCTGAGGCGTTGGGTGGGAGGTGCCTCAAAAATCGCCTCTCAACAAAGAGACGCAGCAAGCAAACGGACGAATGAATGCTAAAGTCACCTTGTATTGTGAGTAAGTGAGTGGCATACCCGCTGTCACCATGGCCCTCACGCCATTGGTGAACCCGTCCTCCTCTGCCCTCCGCACCGCATCCAGCACAGCATCCCACCTCTTGAGGCGCCTCGAAAATTGCCTCTCAACAAAGAGACACAGCAAGCAAACGAACGAATGAATGCTCAAGTCACCTTGTATTGTGAGTAAGTGAGTGGCATGCCCGCTGTCTCCATGGCCCTCACGCCATTGGTCAGCCCGTCCTCCTCTGCCCTCCGCACCGCGTTCAACACCCGCAGGTCCTTGCACAGACTCATCATGCGGTCGCGAGGAAACTTCCTGGAAGGAAACCCAGGGGTTGGAGAGGAGAGGAGAGGTGTGTGCAATCGGCACAATGAATCGCCAAGTAATACACAAGGAGACAGACCTATACGACCATCTCCATCACCGCCTCCAATCCATCACTACCACCCCCATCAGCACATCACCCACTCCAAAATGTACACACCATCTACCTACCATCCTGGCTCACCTGCAGAAGGCCCTGCCAAAGGCTGCAGCAGCTAGAAGCCGTTTCTGCCCATCCACATCCCCCTCATGCGCTGCAGCCTGCATGAATTCTCGATTGGCCTCCCCCATCAGCACAATTATTGGTATGACTTTTGAGAATTCTCCATTGGCCTCCCCCATCAGAAGTCATACCATTATTGCCTGCATGCACCCTCGCACCGCCTCCCCCATCAGCACATCACCCACTCCATCTGATCGTACTCGAGATCTACCATCCTGGCTCACCTGCAGAAGGCTCTGCCAAAGGCAGCAGCGGATAGAAGCCGCTTCTGCCCATTCACATCCCCCTCATGCGCTGCAGCCTGCATGCACCCTCGCACCGCCTCCCCCATCAGCACATCACCCACTCCATCTGATCGTACTCGAGATCTACCATCCTGGCTCACCTGCAGAAGGCTCTGCCAAAGGCAGCAGCGGATAGAAGCCGCTTCTGCCCATTCACATCCCCCTCATGCGCTGCAGCCTGCATGCACCCTCGCACCGCCTCCCCCATCAGCACATCACCCACTCCATCTGATCGTACTCGAGATCTACCATCCTGGCTCACCTGCAGAAGGCTCTGCCAAAGGCAGCAGCGGATAGAAGCCGCTTCTGCCCATTCACATCCCCCTCATGCGCTGCAGCCTGCATGCACCCTCGCACCGCCTCCCCCATCAGCACATCACCCACTCCATCTGATCGTACTCGAGATCTACCATCCTGGCTCACCTGCAGAAGGCTCTGCCAAAGGCAGCAGCGGATAGAAGCCGCTTCTGCCCATTCACATCCCCCTCATGCGCTGCAGCCTGCATGCACCCTCGCACCGCCTCCCCCATCAGCACATCACCCACTCCATCTGATCGTACTCGAGATCTACCATCCTGGCTCACCTGCAGAAGGCTCTGCCAAAGGCAGCAGCGGATAGAAGCCGCTTCTGCCCATTCACATCCCCCTCATGCGCTGCAGCCTGCATGCACCCTCGCACCGCCTCCCCCATCAGCACATCACCCACTCCATCTGATCGTACTCGAGATCTACCATCCTGGCTCACCTGCAGAAGGCTCTGCCAAAGGCAGCAGCGGATAGAAGCCGCTTCTGCCCATTCACATCCCCCTCATGCGCTGCAGCCTGCATGCACCCTCGCACCGCCTCCCCCATCAGCACATCACCCACTCCATCTGATCGTACTCGAGATCTACCATCCTGGCTCACCTGCAGAAGGCTCTGCCAAAGGCAGCAGCGGATAGAAGCCGCTTCTGCCCATTCACATCCCCCTCATGCGCTGCAGCCTGCATGCACCCTCGCACCGCCTCCCCCATCAGCACATCACCCACTCCATCTGATCGTACTCGAGATCTACCATCCTGGCTCACCTGCAGAAGGCTCTGCCAAAGGCAGCAGCGGATAGAAGCCGCTTCTGCCCATTCACATCCCCCTCATGCGCTGCAGCCTGCATGCACCCTCGCACCGCCTCCCCCATCAGCACATCACCCACTCCATCTGATCGTACTCGAGATCTACCATCCTGGCTCACCTGCAGAAGGCTCTGCCAAAGGCAGCAGCGGATAGAAGCCGCTTCTGCCCATTCACATCCCCCTCATGCGCTGCAGCCTGCATGCACCCTCGCACCGCCTCCCCCATCAGCACATCACCCACTCCATCTGATCGTACTCGAGATCTACCATCCTGGCTCACCTGCAGAAGGCTCTGCCAAAGGCAGCAGCGGATAGAAGCCGCTTCTGCCCATTCACATCCCCCTCATGCGCTGCAGCCTGCATGCACCCTCGCACCGCCTCCCCCATCAGCACATCACCCACTCCATCTGATCGTACTCGAGATCTACCATCCTGGCTCACCTGCAGAAGGCTCTGCCAAAGGCAGCAGCGGATAGAAGCCGCTTCTGCCCATTCACATCCCCCTCATGCGCTGCAGCCTGCATGCACCCTCGCACCGCCTCCCCCATCAGCACATCACCCACTCCATCTGATCGTACTCGAGATCTACCATCCTGGCTCACCTGCAGAAGGCTCTGCCAAAGGCAGCAGCGGATAGAAGCCGCTTCTGCCCATTCACATCCCCCTCATGCGCTGCAGCCTGCATGCACCCTCGCACCGCCTCCCCCATCAGCACATCACCCACTCCATCTGATCGTACTCGAGATCTACCATCCTGGCTCACCTGCAGAAGGCTCTGCCAAAGGCAGCAGCGGATAGAAGCCGCTTCTGCCCATTCACATCCCCCTCATGCGCTGCAGCCTGCATGCACCCTCGCACCGCCTCCCCCATCAGCACATCACCCACTCCATCTGATCGTACTCGAGATCTACCATCCTGGCTCACCTGCAGAAGGCTCTGCCAAAGGCAGCAGCGGATAGAAGCCGCTTCTGCCCATTCACATCCCCCTCATGCGCTGCAGCCTGCATGCACCCTCGCACCGCCTCCCCCATCAGCACATCACCCACTCCATCTGATCGTACTCGAGATCTACCATCCTGGCTCACCTGCAGAAGGCTCTGCCAAAGGCAGCAGCGGATAGAAGCCGCTTCTGCCCATTCACATCCCCCTCATGCGCTGCAGCCTGCATGCACCCTCGCACCGCCTCCCCCATCAGCACATCACCCACTCCATCTGATCGTACTCGAGATCTACCATCCTGGCTCACCTGCAGAAGGCTCTGCCAAAGGCAGCAGCGGATAGAAGCCGCTTCTGCCCATTCACATCCCCCTCATGCGCTGCAGCCTGCATGCACCCTCGCACCGCCTCCCCCATCAGCACATCACCCACTCCATCTGATCGTACTCGAGATCTACCATCCTGGCTCACCTGCAGAAGGCTCTGCCAAAGGCAGCAGCGGATAGAAGCCGCTTCTGCCCATTCACATCCCCCTCATGCGCTGCAGCCTGCATGCACCCTCGCACCGCCTCCCCCATCAGCACATCACCCACTCCATCTGATCGTACTCGAGATCTACCATCCTGGCTCACCTGCAGAAGGCTCTGCCAAAGGCAGCAGCGGATAGAAGCCGCTTCTGCCCATTCACATCCCCCTCATGCGCTGCAGCCTGCATGCACCCTCGCACCGCCTCCCCCATCAGCACATCACCCACTCCATCTGATCGTACTCGAGATCTACCATCCTGGCTCACCTGCAGAAGGCTCTGCCAAAGGCAGCAGCGGATAGAAGCCGCTTCTGCCCATTCACATCCCCCTCATGCGCTGCAGCCTGCATGCACCCTCGCACCGCCTCCCCCATCAGCACATCACCCACTCCATCTGATCGTACTCGAGATCTACCATCCTGGCTCACCTGCAGAAGGCTCTGCCAAAGGCAGCAGCGGATAGAAGCCGCTTCTGCCCATTCACATCCCCCTCATGCGCTGCAGCCTGCATGCACCCTCGCACCGCCTCCCCCATCAGCACATCACCCACTCCATCTGATCGTACTCGAGATCTACCATCCTGGCTCACCTGCAGAAGGCTCTGCCAAAGGCAGCAGCGGATAGAAGCCGCTTCTGCCCATTCACATCCCCCTCATGCGCTGCAGCCTGCATGCACCCTCGCACCGCCTCCCCCATCAGCACATCACCCACTCCATCTGATCGTACTCGAGATCTACCATCCTGGCTCACCTGCAGAAGGCTCTGCCAAAGGCAGCAGCGGATAGAAGCCGCTTCTGCCCATTCACATCCCCCTCATGCGCTGCAGCCTGCATGCACCCTCGCACCGCCTCCCCCATCAGCACATCACCCACTCCATCTGATCGTACTCGAGATCTACCATCCTGGCTCACCTGCAGAAGGCTCTGCCAAAGGCAGCAGCGGATAGAAGCCGCTTCTGCCCATTCACATCCCCCTCATGCGCTGCAGCCTGCATGCACCCTCGCACCGCCTCCCCCATCAGCACATCACCCACTCCATCTGATCGTACTCGAGATCTACCATCCTGGCTCACCTGCAGAAGGCTCTGCCAAAGGCAGCAGCGGATAGAAGCCGCTTCTGCCCATTCACATCCCCCTCATGCGCTGCAGCCTGCATGCACCCTCGCACCGCCTCCCCCATCAGCACATCACCCACTCCATCTGATCGTACTCGAGATCTACCATCCTGGCTCACCTGCAGAAGGCTCTGCCAAAGGCAGCAGCGGATAGAAGCCGCTTCTGCCCATTCACATCCCCCTCATGCGCTGCAGCCTGCATGCACCCTCGCACCGCCTCCCCCATCAGCACATCACCCACTCCATCTGATCGTACTCGAGATCTACCATCCTGGCTCACCTGCAGAAGGCTCTGCCAAAGGCAGCAGCGGATAGAAGCCGCTTCTGCCCATTCACATCCCCCTCATGCGCTGCAGCCTGCATGCACCCTCGCACCGCCTCCCCCATCAGCACATCACCCACTCCATCTGATCGTACTCGAGATCTACCATCCTGGCTCACCTGCAGAAGGCTCTGCCAAAGGCAGCAGCGGATAGAAGCCGCTTCTGCCCATTCACATCCCCCTCATGCGCTGCAGCCTGCATGCACCCTCGCACCGCCTCCCCCATCAGCACATCACCCACTCCATCTGATCGTACTCGAGATCTACCATCCTGGCTCACCTGCAGAAGGCTCTGCCAAAGGCAGCAGCGGATAGAAGCCGCTTCTGCCCATTCACATCCCCCTCATGCGCTGCAGCCTGCATGCACCCTCGCACCGCCTCCCCCATCAGCACATCACCCACTCCATCTGATCGTACTCGAGATCTACCATCCTGGCTCACCTGCAGAAGGCTCTGCCAAAGGCAGCAGCGGATAGA